TTCCAGACTAACAGTTGCTCTTCCTCGTCTCCCCGCAGTCTGCCCGTCGCCTTCTACGTCAAGCTCTTCGGCAAGGAAATCTCCGCCCAAGAAAGACTTCTCTGCTACGTCATCATGGCCGTCTCCACCACCCTGTCCTTTATCGGAACCGTTTGGGCCTTTTTGCCCAAGGACCTCATAGGCGCCGCGTGAACGGCAGCCTGTCGCTTTTTTTTTAATAAACAAACAAGAAACGGAAGAAAGACGAGGAGAGGAGGGAAAGACGAGGGGCCAAACCAGGAGAAGCACCGCCAGGTCGAGGAAACGTGCCTTGTTTCTTTGGGGGGGGAAGGGGGGGGGGAAACACCTGCGTTCTTTTTGCATCATCGGCGTCACATGCATATATATACACACAGATACAGCAACGTGAAATGTACAGAGTGGTCATGTCACTGCTGCCTGCCCTGCATGCCCTCCCAAGTCGCAGCATGTCCATGCCGTCTTGCCCGCACAAGGCCCGCCACTGCGTCCGCCTGTCGAGGCACGTGGTAGGTAGTCCGTCTTCTGGGGCGGGGTCAACTGAAGGGAAAGGGGGGCGGAGCGGGCTGATAAGACGTTTTGAAATCGATAAACGCCTTGGTGACAGGTTGAACCTCGCGTGATGCCGATTGCCCTCGGTTTATGCAACAGGGACGTATCACTACATCTTACCCATCCTCTAAAGTCGAACACGGCCTGGGCTGTCACATTTGGGATTCCCTCGCATCAGCTCCGAGCGCCTATAGGTGCTCGGGCACAGGCCACGCCACACGCAGTGGGCACAAGTCATAGTTAGCATGATCACGTTTCGGGGGAAAGCAAGGTGTAGTGGGTAACCTCTGGTATTCTAGATTATTCTGGAGATAGCTAATACTCAGAAGGCGAGTTGAGACCGTGCATCCAAAAGGCTATTCTGCGTGTCGGGCATCAAGGCACACCCGGGTGCCCATGAGCCGACATGCACCTCAAAGAGGGGATCCAACTACAAGAGACGACCAGCTAGGAGTGAGCCTCCTGCCAGCCGCCAACCCACTCGACGTCACCGAGTTCTGAACGTTTGTCTCGGCGCCAGTAATTCCAATCTCTGCCCTTATTCCATGGGCAATCCTTGTTTCGTTCCTTCACAGTCTTGTTTGGAGTCTGAATGTGTAATCCATACTGCTCCCAGAACCCCGTGACGGGTGTTGGCTGATGCGCCGTGACCGATGGTCGACGAGGCTTGAGCCAGTCAGGCGTTTTGTTTGGTTCTGACTGTCCGGCCAAGGCTCGACGTCGCTGGCCGAGGGCAGCCCACTTGTCAACGTTGCTGCGCTTGGGAGGGGGGGAGTAACGGGTTGAAAGGTCCACCGTGGACGGCTTGGGAGCAGGAGCCTCCTGGAAGAAGAAGCCGTCTGCGACCAGGTCGTCATCGACGTCGTTGTGCACGACAGACGCGTTGTCGGCGACGACAGTGGCCTGGTCCGCCTCTGCCGACTTGCTCTCTTGGCTCCAGGTCCTGGAGTTCATGGCACGCAATGACTCGAGTTGCTGGCGAGCCTCTTCTTCCTCTTCTTCAATGTCCTCGTCCCACATGTCGCTCCAGCTCTTGGATACGACATCACTGAGACGACCGAACCCAAGGGATCCGGACGAGTGAACATTGCGAGGCTTGGACATGGTGACAGGGAGAGAGCCACTGATGGCAGAGGTGCGGGGAGGTGGTCGAGACACGGCGGGAACCGGACGTTGAATGGCCATGGACTTCATCGACGTACCCATGGTCAAAGTCGAGTTGAAGGTCGAAGAGAAGGACGGTGCCTCGATGGACCCGGAGAACCACCCGGCTGTCCCGCCAGACTTGGAGAAGAGGTCTTCCGAGTAGCTCTCGTCGTCGGGGATGACGCTGAGCTGGCGGATAGGTTTGGGGGGAGTGGTGTGCAGGGCCTTGGTCCAGGGGAAGGCACCGTTGTCAACCATGGGGCTCTGGATTGAGGGGGTGCGCAGAGGCTCGCGGTTGGCACTGGCCACCACAGTCTTCTCAGTGGAGCAGAAATCGTCCATATCCTCCTCTGATGTGGTGAAGCTGACGAGACGGAGGAGAGCAGCGCGGGCCCCGATGAGGGACCGCTTCTTCGGGTCAAGACTCATCAGTTGCACGATGACCTCATATGTGTCTTGGGACATGGAAGGGAAGACGTCGAAAAGCGACTGCTTGTCACGAGAGAAGTCGAGGAAAAGGGGGTCGGCCTCGGTGGGCGTGGTGAAGGGGTTGCGCGAGAAGAGGACGTTGAGGAGGCAGATGCCGATGGCCCAGATGTCAGCCTGGGCCGGTGAGTAACCCGCACCGGCCGAATCGTACTGCTCGGGGGACATGTAACGGTCGCTGCCGACAGTGGTCTCGAAGGTCCATTGGTCCTTGGTGGCGAGACCAAAGTCACCTAGCTTCATGGCGCCGGATTGGGTGAGGAAGATGTTCTCAGGCTTGATATCGCGGTGATAGACGCCCATCTTGTGAATGTAGGTGACGGCATCCACAAGCTCGAGCATGAACTGACGTACGTGCTCTGTCTCGAGGGGGCCGTGGCCGTTGCGAATCGCCTCATACAAGTCACCTCGGGAGCAGAACTCGAGAACCAGGTATGAGTGCGACTCCGTCTCGAAGGCACGGAGGAGATTGACAATATTGTGGTGGGACAAGCGGCCGTGCAGCTGCTTCTCTTCAGACTTGTCATCAACCGCGAAGGCCATGCATTCGTCGTCAGCGTCGGGCGTCTTGGCAAGGCACTTGATGGCGACTGTCTCGCCAGTGAAAATATCCTTGGCCTTGAAAACCATGCCGAACGAGCCGGCGTTGAGAGGGGAGAGTGTTTGGTAGCGGCCGTCGAGGAGGACGCCGCTCTGGAAGTTGTCTCGAAGGCAAGACATTGTGTGTATGTGTGAAGAAAATGATAATAAGAAATTGTTGTTTGAAGGGTATCAGGAAGAGGAAGATGTTGATGAAATATCGATGAAGTGGTGATACAAGCAGGTGTGTAAAACTCCTTTTTGTGCTTCCTTCTCGATGTCCGCTGCTCAAAGAGTTGGATTGAGGGGTTGTGACGGAGCAGGTGCCGGTGGTGGTGATTCAGACGATACGAGTGATCGGGACACCGGGCGAGTGTTGCGGTTGTTGCTGACGGCCCAACTGGGACGATGAAGAAATGCTCTTGAGAGTTGCGTGCTGAATGTACAGAAAATGTGCGGGTCGGTCAAGACAAATAAGACGATATAAAACTCCTGTTCGTTCACGTATCAGAGGCTCATTGATAACTGGTTGGTTGGATCGAACGGTCGGTACAGATGGGAAAGAAGCGATGGTCGTTGTAGTTTTCGTGAAAGGCGCTGGAGCAGAGTTGCTCGAAAGAGTCAAGGGTCGTTATGAGGACATGGAAGACCGGGTGAAACAAGATAGGGAAGATGTAGTGAAAGACGTTGAGAACGGTTGTTGCAGCAGTCGGGGGCGAGACGGCGGCAGGGATGTTGTTATTTCGTGGTTGGAAGAGTGTGGTGAGCTTGGCTGGTGGAGGGACTCGTGATGGTCGGTCGAACGAGGAACTCGAACAGGCACGAGGCTGGAGCTGGTCGATGTGAGACGCCGGGTGGTCGATGACTAGCACCGTCGAGTCTTTGTTCTCTCAGCAGTCAATCGCTTGCTGGCAAGCAGATTACCCAGTCGGCCGGGGCGTCCAATGTTATGCAGGCAGCATTCGATGTCTTGAGCGTAACCAAGGAGGGCAGGCGAGTGAAGTGAGAAGCAGTCAAGCGACGACGGGTCGTAGCTTGGTCAAGTACTGTTCGGCTCCCGTGGACTAGCTTGACGTCGACGTGGTGACTCGGATGTCGGATGAGTCAAAGGCGGGAAGCAGGTGACTCAAGGCTGGGCAGGCTGAAGGACGATGGATGGGACCCAACAGGAACAGCAGGATACGCTGGGGCAGATGCGGATCAAGTAGGCCTCTCTTCCCTAATCTTCTTGATGGATGAGCTGGATCCGGAAGATGGCGTGATGGATTGCGTTGCGTTGCTTTGATTGCTCGCAAAGAGGTCTGGCTGGTTCTCCGTGGTTCGAGAAGCAACTGGACGTTCTGCTGGCAAGAAGTGGGGGTGGTCGTTGGAGTATTGGCAGTACGAGAGAGAAGCCAAGGGAATGAGCGAGGTGCAACGAGAGAAGGAGAGGCCTCTTTGAGGAAAGGAGGGCGGGAGAGGAGGGTAACGATTAGCAACGGTAGAAGGGCAGAGATGAGGAAAGCAAGAAGGGTAGCGGGGCGGAGGAGACGATGTATTAGAGAGGTGAGAGAAGGTGCAGGAACAAGGAGAGACGATGCGGATGTGGCGGTGGGAAGCTGGGAAGAGTGACAGACAGGGAAGGAAGAGGAGAGAGCAGCCAGCAAGAGAGCGAGCGAGACGGGTCAGAGAGAGAGAGAGGAGTGGAGACGATGGGGTGGTGGGATCTGGGAGCTGGGAGCCTGGGGGAGGGCGAGGAACGAGACGGAAAGGGCGGTGGCAGCGGCGGCAGGGCAGGAGGAAGGCCCGGCTTGACTGGTCGACTGGGTCGAGCAACGGGGGGGGGGGGCATGGGAATGGCGATGGCGCTATGGGGTGGGTCGATGGGGCCGGCGTGCAGGATAGAGCGACGACGCAAGCCCAGCAGCCCAGGTGAGGTGGCTGCGACCGTGCGACAGCCAGTGAGCAGCCAAGTTGAGGGACAAGTAAACAAACATGGTTGCACTTTGCGCACTGTCGGCATGACACGTTGTCGTAACGAACTACGAAGCTGGACGGGGCACGAGGCGCGATGCATCAGGTAGCCGATAGCGACAGACGTGTTCCCCAGGCCGTGTGCAGTACCAGGCTCGGGACCGTGTGGAGTACGACCATGCGTCAAGTGAGCAACAGGCTGCCAGGGCTCGCTCACCGCCAACACTGCCAGGTACTAGACGGTACGCCCTGGCCAGGTCGTCGCAGTCGCTTCCGGCGCTGGGCTCGCTACCTGTTCTCTTCGTATCGCTCTGGTTCCTGCCGTTCGGCAAGACACGCAACCCACACTGTCTGTGTCTGGGCTGGACCCGGACTCGGACCTGGACCAGGACCTTGGCCCTTCAAGGTTGGACCAGTTCGAACGAATGCGGCAGTCTCTCTGGCACTTCCTGTCTGCTCGTGCTCCTTCGTCTGTTGTCCGTAATCTGCTAATCTACTGCCTCCTGCTCCCCGAACCCGCACCGTGTTTCGCGCCCGCATTCTTTCAAGTGCCCTGTTTCACTCGCCCCGCAGTGTCCCTGATGGAGGCTTCCATTGGCCTCCATGGGATGATGAGCTGGACCCCTCGACTGCGCTCATCTCGTCCTGCAGCCTACCTGGCCTACCTACCTACCTACAGCGAGACGCTTGACCTCCAGGTACCTCGTCGAATCTGGGGAATACGCTGGGCAGAAACATAACCGCGAGGAGCAATGACCAGGCCAGAAGCAACTTTGTCCCTGCATGAGTCTCAAACAAAGACGCGTCAAGCACCATACCTCGCTCGGGGTTGTGTAAGCGGCAGCAGGCGAGCAAGTGACGATCTGTGATCCCCCTTTCCCATGTACTGAGTATATTGATCCATTCAACGGGCAGCAGGAGGGGAATGTTTGAGCGATCAGCTTGGTGAGAGAGTTTCATCTACACACGGGATGAGGGGGAGATAAGACACAGTGCCAGCGAGATAATGGTGCCCATACCATTCAGGGTCCAAGAGAAGAACCCAGAGGACCCAGAGATGGATGCACTGGTTTGTGAAGACACGCATGCCTGAGATTCGTTGCTCCGGAAAAGGGGAAGGGAGGGGGAATTGCACCAGCGTCACCTGTTCGTCGTGGTTCGTCATGGCACCCGGGGCCCGGTTTATCCCCAACAGAAAGAACGAGTCAACCTCCCGAGGCTTGGTCGTGTGACAGAGCAGGGCAGGCCCAGAACTGGCCACCTTTAGGTAATACTCCAGGGGCTGGCTGACACGACAGAATCGCTGCGAGCATTCCATTTCCGTCTTCATCTTTCGTCATAGTCATACCGTTCGGTCCCTGAGCAAAGTAGGCAGGTAGCGAGCGACCTTACCCGGCATGATCTTCCTACCCGTACCACCACGTACCCACGCGCGGAGCACCCTGTTCCATCCAGGCCCCCAAATGACGATGCGTTTCTGGCTTGGAAGCTGATAACGACAATCTGTCCACCCGGTTCGTTATCTGCCACTGATTGTTTTCTAGGCAAATCAAGAGCAGACACGACCGCGGGGCGGACGAGTCCGTCTGATGCTAGTAACCTGCACCCATACCTGACCCCTACCACGCAGCATGTACGATGAATGGCATTTGTACGTAGGAAGACCCTCAGCGGCTGCATACTGGAGGATGCACGATGCTGTGGCAGGCCCACCTCCCGTCCTCTACTGTCCGGTCCTCCTACCTGAGCAACCAGTGTGATGTGAGTGGCAGGCAGGAGGGACTCAAGCTCGAAGCTGGGGCTGGGTGCAGTGTGACACCTTCTCGCCTCGACAACGCAGTCGGGTGGAGCTCAGTGATGCCTCGGGCCCCATCAAAAGGGAGTGTGGCCCTGCACTTCCTATCGACGTATCCAGTAGTGTCCCAGTAGCGGCTGGGACGCTGAAGCTGTGGTCCAAATTCAGGGAGCACTTTCGGAAGGAGAGTGGCCCTCAGTCGTCCTGTCTTGGATGGAGGAAGGTTGGTCGGTGGTAGTTGGACCCGCCAATGGTCCACCATCGAGCCTTCAGCCGACTCCCCTAACCCCCCCCTAACCTCCAGACCATGCAGGTCCCTGGCTCCTCCATCTGCCACTGCACTTGCTTCCGGCAGCGATACCGAGACTGGCTGCTTGACCGCCTTCTCCTAATTTCGTTGTGCCCATTCTCCTGCATGAATAGATTCTCCCAACTACCACCCACATCATTGGGATAGTCGAATCATCGTGAACTGTTTGACCTAGGAATGGTGGTGAAAATTTTCTGTTGACCGGGGGCCAGCGATCGAACAACCAAGTATACCATTGCAGCGCACCGCTTCTTCCTAGCCGGTGAAAAATTTCGTACATCTATTTTCCGCTCAGCCTCCCGCACACCCCCCGTCCACGGTGCAACTTGGTCCCTCACCGCCGTTGCCATTGCCGTTCTCCCTGGCCCGATCGAGACCCGGCATGGCGTCCGCGACCGCAACCACGGAGTATTCGTGCGTCACAATGAAACTCTATCAAACGCCAGCTCCGTTCGAAGTCGGCAACCCAACATCGATCATAGTATGCGGCCGCAGTAGGTTTTCGATGATCACCTGATGTCCCGAGAACCTTGCCCTGACAACTCGCAGACTGGGCGGCGCACACCATTTACCGGAATCAGGCCCCAGAACTCACAACAACCGACGAGACCATAACCACAACCCAGCCAATCTCTCGTGATACCATCTCGACAACACAAACACCCTCATCCACCTCAGCAGCCTCCACAGACGACAGCACTAGCGACAGTAGCGCCTCCCTCCCCGTAGGTGCCATCGCCGGTGGTGTCGTCGGTGGCGTCGCCCTCGTCGCCCTCGTCGCCCTCGCCTTCTGGTTCCTGCGCCGCCGCTCAAGGCAACGGGACACTGCGACAAAAGCGCAAGCAACAGGAAACTACGGCGCGTACGGCGCCGGGGCTCCGGGCAGCGATTATCCCAGCGAGTCAGCCACGGCCGCCATGTCCATGTCTCAGTCCGACCGGCACACGTGGACGCAGAGCCCACCTCACCAGGGCGGCGGCCCAGAGCACTACTCGAGTCCCGGATATCCAATGCCGCACGGTCACCAACTTGTTCCGCAGCAGCCGCCTGTGGGCGAGCTCGGGTCCTGGCAAGGTCACGGGCTTGGGCCTGGCGCCGAGGCGATGGAGCTGGACGGAAGCTACGCGAACGAGGCCGGCAGGCAAAGACCGTTGTCAGAGTTGCCGGTGGACGGGCACCATGGGTCCGGAGGGTCGGGCTATGGGAGGTGATAGAGAAGACCTGGCGCAATGGGCCAGAAGGAGTGGATAATAATAAGGAGCGGCGTAGTGTGTGGCGAATACCCCTTTTTGGAATGAAACTTGGATTGCTATGCGTGTCTTCATTGAAGTCGTCGTGACGACCCCCTTGGTCATTGCTCCGGCAGCGATCCAGAAGTCAAGTGCCAATGTGTTGCTGTTTCGGAGCGTTCCCACGATGCGGGCTGGAAAGCGGACATGCGCAGTCACCTTGATGTTTGAAGCGCTTGACAGAAAAGTGCTGCTTTGATCTTCTCGTAACATCTACCCAGGTATATCTCCATAATGCCGTGCCTTGTGCCTCGCGTGAAACAGAACCCAACGCCAGCCATGTATGCAGTCCATTCAATCTCTCGAGCACCTGGCTCTCTCCACATCGCGATGACTCCTGATCCTTGCTGAATTTTGCGTCCTGCAACGCTCCCACCTTCCCTAGCCTTGCTGGTGTGATTCTCTCAGCACCATACTCAATAGACACTCCCTTGTATGCTCCGGTCGGCCCTCTCGGCCCGGTCGATATCGTCATCGTCATCCGCGTCCCTCCCACCGTCGGAGCCGACACTACTGAGCGCATCCCCGAGACGATTCGCACGCGCGCCAGGCACCATGCCGTATTCGTCCAAGCTTGCATCTTCCTTGGTGACGGCCTCATCGTTGACCACCGCAATAGGGCCCTTGCCGTTCACATGGCCGCCTGGCGTGTCGGTAGCATGTCCGTTGGCGTGCCGTCCGTTCGCACCAGTCGGGAGCTTCTCCAGCTGCGCCGCCAGCGACGCAACACGTCCGTGACCCCGATGACCGGCGTGCTCGTCCTCAGAGTTGTCCTCGGCGTCACTATTCGACAAGGATGCGTGACCAGAGTACGTGCCGCCACCGTCCCGCCCAATGTGGAGGTGAGGTGAACGAAGGCTGCGCAGACGGTCCTCGGCGGAGATGTAAGAGGGCGTACCATCGGGTGATGAGACAACCTCTTCGTGAGAGCGGACAACGTCAATCTGAGGGGTGGAGCGGGATCCGCCGGTGCCGCTCTCTTCGTCGTCGTGGTCTTCGTCTGAGCCGTATGCGAGCTGAAAGCGCTTGCCTACTGGCCGGCGACTGGCGAGACTCGAGACGGAGGGGGTCTGCGAGTGGGTCTGCGAGTGTGGCTTGCAGACAGTGCTGGCGGCCGCGGCTGCCTTTTCATCCGTCTGTCGCAGCGACTCGAGGTCGTCGCGGCGAACGTAGTGGCTTTGGTGGTTGCAGCCGTTGGGGCAACCACCCCAGCGCCGCGTCGGGACGAAGCTCTTAGTCTTCTCGATGGGGCTCGGGGCGACCTGCTTTTCCTTACCCTGCAGGACGCGTTCGCGCCGCAGCTCAGACCAGGTGCGGAGGTTATTCTCGAGTATGTATTTGCCGCTCTCCTCCTGTTTGCGCATGATGAGGAACTCGCAGTGGTTGACGTTGCGCAGGTCCTCAAAGTATTCAACGGTGAAGTGGTACCACTTCATGAGGAATACGCGGGACATGAGGCCGTGGGTGACGAGAACGCAGACGCTGGCAAAGTCATTGTCACCAAATTGACGCCACAGGCTCTCGTTGAAGCCGCTCACTCGATCGTATGCGTCGGCGGCGCTCTCGCCGTTGGGGATGCGGTAAAAGAAGTGGCCATAGTCGGCGCGCTCTTGCCACATACGCTCCATTTCGGCGCTACATGGTTGGAAGTTGCCAAAGTCCTGTTCGCGCAGCCGCGGTTCTTCGTGAACGGTGATGTTAGACCGCTTGAAGGGAGAGGGCTCGTCGTCGTCGGATGTCAGGGTGGCAAGGATGCCCTCAGTGGTCTCGCGGGTTCGGCGGTATGGAGAGGTGAAGAAGTGGAGGGTGTCGTCGGCACGCAGCAGCTTGCGCAGGGAGCGGCCGGCTTCATATGCTTGGTTCCAGCCTTCGGGCGTGAGCTTGACGCGATGGTCGGGTATGGCCTGGTGAATTTCTCTGTTTTCTAGAAGCAACAAAAGTCAGCACAGGAGGCAAAACGCGACAGGACAAGTGGGGGAGGGGCAGCCTCGATGGCGGGGCACAACATACTGTTACCCTCTGACTGGGCATGCCGGATAAGAATGATAAGTCTTGGTTTGACCATGTTGGGTCACGTTTGGTGGTGGTAGTGAAGTGGTACAGAGTGGCCGGGCCGTTTGGTGGTTTGGTGGAATGGTCGTGTGCACTATCGGGAGGGGTCGCGTCGGTGCCAGGCACTTTGCTGCAGGTCCAAATGGGGTGGGGGGGACAGAGTAAGAATGGTTCGATGTCGGACTACCTGATGACAGTCGGTAGGGCTAGAAATAAAGTAGAAGCCAACGAAGAGGCGGCTTGTCGCGGGCGGGCTCGCTTTAGTAATCCCAGTGGGGGGCAAATGGATGACACGACGTTGGGAGCAGATGGGTCGAGGCGATGGAATCCGACCGATGGTTGATTCACATGGACGGGTTGGCTTGTTGGTAATATATTAAGAGTCAGAGATGCAGAGTGCAAAGAGCAGCAGCTGATGCTCGATCCGGTTCCGGGCCTGGCTCCGGGGTCCATCCCCCTCACCTCTCTCTCATGCTGCCTGCCTGCCTGCCTGCCTGCCTGCCTGCCTGCCTGCCTGCCCGCCTACCTACCTAGGTAGGTACAGAGGTAGGTACTTAGGGGGGCCAACGAAAAGAAATACCTGACATATTTAGAAAGAGCCCCCATGGCCAGGGCAATCACGGTCACAGCGGTTGCTTCCCTGTCGACGATCTGTCGCGAGGGGTCGGGCGGCAGGCGCAGTGGCGGGGTTCTTGCTTCATCTGCCGTAATTCCTTGGCCCTGATTCGACGCGTTGGCTCCGAGCACAGGAACGGGCAGCGGGCCAGGGGTTTCTCGCGTTTTGACTCGTCGGTTGGGACTTCCTCTTGTTGGAGCCTTCGCCCCTCGTCAAAAGACAGAGACAAAGACGAGGAGGGCGAAAATGAGTCGACCGTCATCTATCTTAGGTAGGTAAGGTAGGTACGTAAGGTAGGTAGACACATAGATGTCTGTCCTTACGGCTCTTCAGGTTGGTTCGCATCTGTGAGAACAAAGGCTGCTGAGACGTTTGAAAGTCGCATCTGTCACCATGAAGACCACATCCCACTATCGATAGCGGAAGATCAAATATTAAGTGGGACCAGAATTGGCAGCGGGCAGGTCATCGCGAAACACCAAGGAAAGACTGGTACCCATCATTTTCTCAGCCTCATCCCGTCCACATGCGCGTCCTGCTACACCCTGATACCCAACTGCAAACCATCTCCCACTTCCTCAAGCCGCTTTTTAGTCGATATTCCAGGGCCCTGCCGAGAAAGAATTGACCCCTCGCGCCTTGTCCTTACGACGAACCTCGCCAGAGTAAGCTCATCGCCACCTTCCACGGCCAACGCCCATCATGTCCGGCGAGGGTCCCGAATCGATCCCCACCTCCGCCGACCCGCGCTCGAAGCGCCCGACCAAGCGCCGCGCCCTGACCCCTTCCACCGCCCAGGCCTCCTCCCTCGACGCCCTCTTCGCCAAGCCAGACCAGGAGATCCGCCTGCCCGCCGACGTCCTCCTGCGCCGCACCTCCGCCGCCGGCGCCACCCCCGAGATTGTCACCAACGTCCAGGGCTCCAGCGCCGGTGCCGGCTCGGGCGAGTTCCACGTCTACAAGGCCGCGCGTAGGCGCGAGTACGAGCGCCTGCGCGCCATGGACGACGAGGTGAAGATCGAGAAGGAAACGGAGGCGTTTGAGCGCGAGAAGCTCGAGCGGGATGCGCGGGACGCCGAGCGTACGAGGAAAAATCGCGAAAAGAGGGACAAGAAGCGGAAGAAGGGCGGCGACAAGAAGGGTGCCCACCCTGCTGCTGCTGCCAACAGCGGTGGTGGTGTGGCGAGGAGAGAGATCAAAGATGCAGAGGACCAAGGGACCAAGGACGGCGAGACGACATCGACCGAAACCGGGCAGAATGGTGACGTTTCCTCGGCGGCGGCAGCAGCCTCGAAGCAGCCGGCAGGCCTAGTCATCCACGACGACGACTAACCTACACGCCTGTCGCCATCATGTTCTGTACCAAAATTCCAGCTTCTTTACACAGCGCACGGCCTCGCGGCCCATATCCCGGCGAAGATCGTCGGCGAAGGCGACGCCGGTAATGGCGGCAAGTCGACTCTTGATTCCCGAGAACTTTTTTAGTCTAGGTACTCCTAATCCGACCCTCTATGGCTCGTAAGGTACAGGGGTATGGTGTCGCGGCATGCACTCCGTTTCGTTCCGTGTCATTCATGTCTTCCCCTCCTCCCCGAGGGCTTCATCTTCTCCAGCCTCTTCTGCGGCACGTTCAAGCCCCCTTTATTCCTCACCGCCTCCGCCCTGGCCCGGTTGCGCGCCCTTCCTCGCGCTGCAAATGTCGTCGACGCGGAGAAGCAGGCAGGCAGACTGTATGGATCGTTAGTAGGTGAGCCACAAGAAAAGTGAAGAGCGAGTTCATCTGCGTCGGGGTTATAACTCACCTCGATGGCCGTCTTGATGCTCTGCAGCTTGATAGCCTGCGGCTCCCAGACGCCGTACTGGTGCATGTCCACAATGACACCTTCATCGCCGTTGATGCCCCACGACGTCTTGCCCTCGGCGTGCTTGGCACGCAGGTCCGTCAGCACGCGCACGGGGCTGGCACCGGCGTTCTGCACCAGCGTTCGGGGGATCACCTCGAGGGCGTCCGCCACCGCCTTGTATGGCCACTGTTGCACGCCCTCGATGCCCTTGGCCAGCTGCGCGAGGCGCACCGACACGGCCATCTCCGTCGCGCCACCACCGGGCGACAGGCGCGGGTGGAACATGACGTTGCGGGCCACACCCATGGCGTCCTGGAGGTTGCGCTCAATCTCATTCAGCACGTCCTTCGAGGGGCCGCGCAGCAGCACTGTGCAGGCCTTGGGGTTCTCGCACTTCGTCAGGAAGGTGAAGTACTCGTCACCAATCTTCTCAATCTCGAACAGGCCACACTGGGTGCCGACGTCCGACTCCTGGAGATCGTCCACGCGGTTGACAATGGTGGCGCCGGTCGCGCGGGCTATCCGGTTGTTGTCCGTCTTGCGCACTCGCCGCAGGGCCGTAACGTTGGCCTTGACGAGGTAGTGCTGTGCCAGGTCCGAGACGCCCTTCTCCGTGATGACGAGGTCAGGCTTGAGCGCCAAAATCGAGTCGCACATGGCCTTGACCTGCTCCTCCTCAATCTGCAAGATACGGTTCCAGTCCTCCTCCTTGGAGATCTCAATGTTCGTTTGCGACTCGCCCTTCTTGTACTCGAGCGGGCAGTCGAGCAGCACGATCCTCGGGTTCTCTATTCTCCTGCGCATCTTGGGGTGCGTAATATCCTTGTTGACCATGACGCCGTCCAGCACCCTGCTGTCCTCAATCTCGCCACCAGGGACCTTCTCGATACGGGCGTAGCGCTTAATGTCGACCTCCTTGTTGCCATTGCCAGGCTCCCAAGTGACGGTGCGAACGGCCTTCAAGGCGAGCTCGCACATAAGGTCGGACCACCGGGACACAAACTTGGTACCGATGGAGGAGGAGATGAGGCTGTACATGGCCTTGTCGTCGGTGGTGTCGATGGGGGTGGAGATCTCCTCGACAATCTCAAGGGCGTCCTTCAACGCACGTTTGAAGGCGGCAATAATCTGGACGGGGTGGATGTTGCGCTCGAGCTGGGGCAGGGACTGGGCGAGCATCTCGCCGGCTATGAATAGGTCAGCGTTGACCTTCGAATAGGGTGAGACCTCACATTGGACGTACCCAGAATGATGACGGTCGTGGTACCGTCACCGACCTCCTCGTCTTGCGTTCGGCTGAGTTCAATCATGCTCTTGGCTGCCGGGTGAGACACCTCGATCTCTCTGAGGATTGCGTGACCATCGTTGGTCAGGACGATACCACCCATGGGATCCAGCAACATCTTCAACATGGCTTTGGGGCCCAGGCAGGAACGGATAATATCGGCGACGCTGCAGGGGTCAGATTTGTCGGGCACTAGGGTGATCGAAGTATGGACACGTACGTCTTGGCGGCAGCGATGTTGGACATCTGAGCCTTGCGACCCGTCTGTCGCTCACCACTGTTGGTGTCTGTCGGGTTGGTCAGCACTTAGCATCCAGGGGGGGGGGAGCTTCAGGAGCTCGGTGATGGAGGGGCGGGGACGTACTCATTACCACCACGGGGGCTTGCATGATGGGCAACGGTTTATGTTTTCAACCGCGAGAGTAAAATGTCGTGTTTGCAAGCTTCGGGAATCAGTGGCTTCTGGTAGACTGAATTAGACGTCACGTCGTTGGCAGCGGGGTGTGGTCGTCGTGGGTACAGGCACCAGGCTTCTAAAAAGTTCGTGCCCGTGAATGGAGATTTTGGCGGGATGAGCTGGACTCGGCGGAACAATTTCGCGGTAGTACCTTCCAGACATTCGGGGTTTACCCACACCGAATTGACCACTTGTACACCGAACGTGATAGATCTTGATTATGTAACCAATCAGCATCTTCTAACTTCACTTCACCGGGCTTCAGCAACTGGTCTAACCTGGTCCACCGTATCTTTATGCTGGTTGTTCAAAGATGTCTGGAAGCACTCGCCTCTCCCTATAGAAGGTATCAATACGGTGATTCTAGCAACCATTGTTGTCGCTCTCCTGCGGGGACAGCCAGGCGCAAGGCTTACAGCCTACGAACCTGAGCTAGCACCCACCCCAGGAGTCCAGAGCCAGAAGAATATGCAGCCTCAGCAAACCCATGAATGCTTGCGTCATCATGGACGTTCCCGTCATGTCTTCTTGGGTCGACCTGGCCTTTTTTTGGAGTTTGAGCATACAGCCGGGGGTGGCGGCAACATCTTCGTCTTCGTTCCCGCCACCATTGCCCAAGGGGCTTCAATTTCCATATCGACAACGCAGTATCCCATCGCCATGTAGCGCTGCACTTGCGCCCAAATTTGCCTGTCCGATTCCGCTGAATCATCGAAACGTTTCCAGAAAAGCTCTATTGCCTTGTTCCCCTCTTCCTCGCGCAGTCCGGGGATATTGGCCGCATGAAAGAAGTCGCCCTTCGTGTTCGACT